ATCCTGAGGGTTGCAGTGGAGACACAGGAAGAATTAGTTGTCCTGTGGCTTAGAAGCATCTCCCATTATTCAATTAATCTACTTATGTAACTGCTTCATATGTATTCTTTCCTTAGCCTTAATTCACTGCAGATAGAATGTATTCTCCTGTCTTAATTTTCTCTGAGTTGTGAATGCAAGAAGATTATCCCAAAGTTCCAACAAAACCCACACACAGTTGTGCATATAAAAGTTCCACAGTGTATTTCAGTGAGTAAAAAAAGGGATGGGAGAATATCTTAGATGCCAGGATTTTCTTGACTATACCCTTGGATCCTGCATGTGTGTTATATTCAGCACTGTTTCCCTTGGCTTGTCACCTTAAGACAAAATGAAATACAAAGGAAGACAAAGACAAAGAGACAAAAACAAACAAAGGACCAAACAACAACAACAAAAAAAAAAAACTTGTTTTATGTTTAACTTTTCTCTAACTGTAAAGTATATTTTGTTTCTGTAGCTTCAAATGTAAAAGATATAACCGAAACAACTGGATATAACTTGAGTTTTAGAAAATAAGTTGCCCTTACATTATATAAGAATATTATTTGGCCTTCTTCTACCCAAAAGTGTTTTTAGTGGTTTCTCATGTGTGCTCTATTTGGTAGCTTATTTTAGATAAAATTCCATGGTTTATCTGTAAGTAGAAAAAAAATCTCTCTTCCATTTTGGCTGAAGAAAAACAAACTCGATTCTTTGAAATTGTGTTGTAATTAAATCAGTGAATTCCAGATATATTAAATAATCTGTTCCTTTTCTTTGAACCCTTGTAAGAGTCAAGCATATATATTATTATCTGGACATTTTGTGAGATATGGTTTGGCAAATCCTAGAATTATTCACATATGATTTCTATTAATGATTTGTTATTGTGGAGATAGCACCAGAATTATATATTTTCTGGGAAAATGGGTGCTTTTGTTTGTTGATGTTTTGAAATATAAAATCAGCCCTGACAAGTTATGGAGTACCTGTTTTAAACAAACAAATAAATGAAAAATAAATAATATTTCAGTGGATATTTTTTGGTGGTAAGTTAAATTGACACTAGTTTCAACCCCTAATAGAAAACAAAACAAAACTCACTAAATGTGAATATTTTAATGTATTTACTCATTTAAAGGGGTCTTTTCTCCTTTAAAAGTATATGAATAAAATTTGGAGTCAGGGAGGTCTGAGCTAAATGACTTCTAGTTAAATTAATCTTGAACCTACAAATAAGGTCTTTGAAGACCCACATGTTTTGTTTCTTTAGAGGCCTATTTTCAGGATGTGGGTTTGAATTGTGGGCAGTCACCTCTGAGAAAGAAGCCTTGGGAAGGACAAGGGAAGAAGACATGCTTGGTCTCCAGTTGTGTGGCCCAGGTCAGGGGCTGCATTAAATTTACCTTCTAAAGTACTTCGTGTTTAGAACTTGCAGTCTTCCTTTTCTATCTTTCACATCTCTGTTTAGCATATTTACCTACTTTACTTCCTTTGCTTCTCACAATAGTCAAATTTAACTCTATATTATATATACCCACATATATCCCCTATATTGAGAGCCTTCCTTCCATTCTTACACTTTTGTAAATTCATGCCATGACTGCATGACCTGCAAGCTTGAAAAAGTTTTCTTTTTGAAAAAGGAGTATAAAAAATCTTGGTATTCTAGACTTCTGTTGGAGATATTTTGGGCTCACTGAACATTGCTAAAGAAATGAAACATGCTTTGTGTACTTTATGTTTAGATGTTCCATTGTCTTTAAGTACTTGAGAAATGCACATCCATTGTCCCTAACAACTTAGCTAGCCCTGAAAGGATGCAGTAATTAGGACAGATTCATTCTGTAGAATGCTAAAGAAAGCCTACTGACATATACTTTAGAGCATAAGAGATGTGTAAAGCTAAAAAATTGCATAAAATTAATGTATTTTTATGAGTAGACTGACATTGAGCTTTACATTTTATTATATTTTGACTTGTCCACTGGTATCATGGCAGTGATATGTCCTTCTATGTCAATTGAGACTTCATACCAATCTGCTCTTGCACAGATTTAGCCTCATTTGCTTGGCCCAAATCCTCTCAGATTTTCTCTTTAAAGATAAACATTTTCTTGTTTTCATTAAGAACATTGTCAAGAGTTTTCTAAATAACCTTTGGAAACCATCATATTTGATACAGAATCTCTCCTTTATAACTTTTGTTTGTGCTTCTCTCTGGACAATGAATGTTCTGCCTGTTGTTTACCAGAGGTGTTTGCTTTATTATTGGAGGTCATGAAGCCGACCACAACCTGTAGGCTTTCTTTTTATTTTGCTTCCAGTTCCCAGACACAAACCACAAAAGTTCCATGCATTTTCAGTTAAGGAAACAACAATCATATGATTGAAATACCTGAAAATTATGAAATAGATCTCAAAACAAATTATAAATAACAAGGGAAAGTGAAGAATGTTCAAGACTCACAAATGTAATTCTTGTTTATTTTTATGTTTAAATGTGATTATCTCTATAGTGTCTTTTAAAAAAGGCTCAATCCCCATAGATTTATAACTTTTTTAAAAAACAAATTTATTATGTTACATGAAAATGTATCCATTTTTATGTATACAAAGTTAAAATTTTATGTATGTGCCCATAAAATAAATATCATTTCCTTGACTTGATTATGTCTTCTTAACATGTTTCTATGAGTCTTCTTACTTATAATAACTCTTGCTCTGAAAATTGTTTCAATTTATTTTGAACTTAATGTTTACCCCCCCACCATTACAGGACAAATAAATTTTGGTAAATATCAGGTTGTACCATTTAGTGTATATTTCAGAAAATGTCATAAAAGATAAATACTATTATTACTATCAGATTACTTTGGTTGTTATAAATCAATATGTGAAAAATTCTCAAAAGTAATATGTGTAAATGTGAAATGGTAAAAAAGGATTGTCCTTGCTGCTTGTTATTTTAATAACATTTATGAATCCCATAATATATTTTAAACTCACATTCATCAATGAATGTTCCCCTTAGGTCTACCTAAAAGTTTCTTATATCATTGTTATTGAAACAAACTGTCAGATACAAATATGAGCATAATGCAGGAGAGGTTACACACCATGCAATGGATTCTGTCATCAATGTTGGTATAACTGCCTATAATGCTGACAACATTGTTATCAAAACAGTGGTAAAGAAAACTGCAAAACAAATAGGGGGAAAAAAACTCCTTGAGGACTATCAGATAACTGATTCTTCTTTGAGAGAAAAGGGAGCAGCAAATGCAAGTATGGGAAGAGAGAAGGATGAATAGAAGAGGAAGTAGAAAATAAAGAAGCAAAAAGAAAAAAAAATAAATGATTGAAATGGTAGGAGTCACCTATACGAAAACCTTACCAGGTAGAGAAAATTTTGTTAAATGTGCCTATGTGGAATTCCCTGCAGATTAATCAATATTTTTAAAATGTACGCAATCCTACAAAGTGACTGTCATACATTTTATGACAAGTATTTCACTTCTAAGGAAAATAATCAGTATTCTTGCCCCCTTTAGAAATATGTTGTTATATTCTCAGTACATTTATATTTTCCCAAAATACAGCCAGAACTTTTTTTTTAAGAGAGAGAGAGAGAGAGAGAGAGAGAGAGAATTTTTAAATATGTATCTATTTATTTTTTTTAGTTTTCGGCGGACACAACATCTTTGTTTGTATGTGGTGCTGAGGATTGAACTGACTACATGCACGCCAGGCGAGCATGCTACCACTTGAGCCACATCCCCAGCCCCCAAAACATTTTTGTAGGAAAAATCAAGCTTACAATACATGTGATATGCCTCTGATTAAACTGTTGTAAAACTAGTTTGATGTCTATCATCTTTCAGAAAGAAGGTTACTTATCTACATAAAATTTGGTGTTTACTAACCTTAGTTCTATTTATAGTGTGAAAGAATGACTTAATATACTGCCTCCTTTTTGTGCACCAATTGTTGATATTTTTAGACACTTCTCATATTTTCAGTGTGTAAGCTAAACAAAAACTATAATTCCAAACTAAAAGAATAGTCAGATAATATTTTAAGTGTTTCAGAAAACAAGAATGAAGTTGATCATGGAAATGAGGTTCTATAAAAATTATTTTGTACCTTATGTGTTGGTTCTGAAATGAGATTTTTTAAACATTTGAAAGAAATACAAATCCATGTGAAAATCATTTGCACTGAAAATGTTATTTATCAATTAAAGGCCTACGCATTTTTTTCAGTATGATTGTTACTGCATTAAAATTTGAAGTGACTATTTTCAGCTTAATTGGATGAAAAGTACCCTACGAAATAATTTTACCCTATGTTCTTATGTTTTTCTGAAAGGCTAACACTGTGTGAAAAAATTAAAAAAAGAGAGAGATATTGATAGATACTGCTATTTAATATACTTTTAATTTTGGCTTTAGCCATCGAAATTTATTAAAAATCCAATAAATTCTTAAAAGGGAAGGTGCTATTTGTGATCAAGCCAAATAATATGAAAAATTTAGGCACAGCCCAGGGTGTGTAGACAGGATAGTTTCCACTTTGGCAGAAGCTAAGTTTAAGGCACATATACATATAAATAACTAATGCCTAATGGCATTTTGTTTTTGCTTACTGATTTTTAAAAAATCGTACTTTTTGTAGATATAGTCTATTGTAATCCTTTCTGAACCTTCATTGGCTAGTTTATTGGACTTTACAAAAAAATATCTAAAGAAAGCACTTTGTGTATGAATTGACCTTGAATGTTTTCATTGGGCTTGTTGTTTAGGATTGTAGATTTGTGGAGATTTTCATAAGGTGAAAGGTAATGCACTAGTTGATAAAATAGAAATAAAACTGAATAGATCAATTAACAAAAACTATGAATAATCATATGGTCAGTGTGTTCTTTACTTTCTTTATTTATTAATTAGTCTCCTTATTTATTGTTTATCTTATTTCAGGAACTAGTGACATTCAGGGATGTGACCATTGATTTCTCTGAAGAGGAATGGGAGTGCCTGGAACCTGCTCAGAAGAATTTATACAGAGATGTGATGTTAGAGAACTATAGAAACCTGGTCTTCCTGGGTGAGGATAACTTTCTTTGGGATTTCTAAATAAGTATTAATATTTAATTTTCTTTACTTGAAGAATATTTTTTTTACATCTAAAACCTAGTTTTATTTATTTGTTCTTTTTTAAACTTAAATTTTTTTCTAATTAGTTTTATATGAGAGTAAAACACATTTTGACACATCATACATAAATGGAGTATAACTTCTCATTCTTCTGTTTGTACCTGATGTAGAAGTATAGCAGTCATGTAATCATATATTCACCTAGGATAAAACTGATTCATTCTACTATCCTTTCTACACCTTTACCCTCTCCTCTTTCTTCAATCTCCTCCATCTAATCTAAAGTACCTCTGTTTTTACCTAGCTAACCCCTTAATGTGAATTAATTAGCATTTGCATTCTAGATAAAATATTTGGCCTTTGGTTCTTTGAGATTGGCTTATTTCAGTTAGCATAATGTTTACCAGTTGTATCCTTTTACCAGCAAAACCATATATCACTCTTGTTTTTGGCTGAGTAATATTTCACTGTGCAAATGTACCATTTTTTTTTATCCATTCATCTGTTGAAGAGCACCTAGGTTGGTTCCATAATTGAGCTGTTGTGAATTGAGCTCCTATATACATTGATGTGGCTATGTCACTATAGAATGCCGATTTTAAGTTCTTTGGGTATAAACTGAGGAGTGGGATAAGTGGGTCAAATTGTGTTTTCATTAAAAGTTTTATTTTAAGGAATCTCCACACAGCATTCCAGAATGGTTGCACCAATTTGCAATCCTACTCCCCACATGTTTGCCACATTCATGTTGCTTGTACTCTTAATAGTTTTTATTCTGACAAGTGAGAGGAAGTCTAAGTGTAGTTTTGATTTGCATTTCTCTAATTGCTGGAGATGTTGAACATGTTTTCAAATATTTGTTGATCAATTGCAATTCTTCTGTGAAATTTCTTAATTCCATTTATTGATTGGGTTATTTGTTCTTTCGGTGTTAAGTGATTCTTTATATTTCCTGAAGACAATGCTCATTCTGAAGTACATGTGGCAAAGATTGCTCCCAATTTGTAGTCTGTCTGTTCATGTTCTCATTGTTTTTTTTCTGTAAAGAAGCTTATTAGTTTGGTGCCATCCTATTTATTGATTCTTGATTTTACTTCTTGCAGTTTAAGTCTTGTTAAGGAAATCAGTTCCTAAACTGACATGGTGAAGATTTGGTGCTATTTTTTTTCTTCTATTAGGTGATGGATCTCAATTCTATTGCCTAAGTCTTTGATCCACTTTGAGTTGATTTTTGTGCGGGATGAGAGATAGGGGTTTAATCTCATTTTGCTACATATGGATTTCCAGTTTTTCCAGCACAGTTGTTGAAGAGGCTATCTTTTCTCCAATGAATGCTTTCAGTGCTTTCTTTCTAATATGAGATAATTGTAATTCTGTGAGTTTATGTGTCTTTTATTCTATACCATTTTTCTACATCTTTGTTTCGGTACAATAGCATTCTGTTTTTGTTACTATATATCTCTGTAATATCATTTAAGTTCTGGTATTGTGATGCCTCCTGCTTCACTTATCTTTCTAAAGGCTGCTTTGGCTATTCTGAGCCTCTTAATTTTCCCAATAAATTTTATGATTGCTTTTTCTGTTTCTATGAAGACTGTCATTGGTATTTTAGTAGGAATTTTGTTAAATCTTTATAATGCTTTTAATGGTATGGCCATTTTGACAGTGTGAATTCTGCCTTTCCAAGAGCATCGGAGAATGGGAGATCTTTCCATCTTTCATGGTCTTCTTCAATTTCTTTCTTTAGTATTGTGTAGTTTTAATTGTAGGGGTCTTTCACCTCTTTTGTTAGATTGATTCCCAAATATATATATACACACACTTTTGTTTTAAATTTGAGGGTTCTTGTGAATGTGGTAGTTTTTCTAGTTTCTCTTTCATGTGATTCATCAGTGATGTACAAGAACATGTTTGATTTGTGGGTGTTGATTCTATATCCTGCTGCTTTGCTAAATTCATTTATTAGTTCTAAATTTTCCAGTGATAATTTTTGGGTCTTCTGAAAATAGAAATATATTGTTAGGAAATTGTGATAGTTTGAGTTATTTTTCTGTTAGTTTCCATTTAACTTATTTCTTTTGTCTTTGTTCTCTGGAAGGGTTTTCAAGGATGATATTAAATAAAAGTGGTGAAAGAGGGCATCCTTGTCTTGTTCCAGTTCTTAAGAGAATTCATTCATTTTTTTTCACCATTTAGAATGATGTTGTCCTTGGGTATAGCATATGTAGCATTTATAATGTTGAAGTATATAACTACTATTCATAGCTTTTTTTGAACATATGTTGATGCTATATTTTGTGAAATGCTTTTTATGCATCAATTGAGATAATTACTATTCTTGTCTTTAATTCTATTGTTTCGATGAATTATGCTTATTGATTTCTTATGTTGAACCAGCCTTGCATCCCTGGAGTGAACTCCACTTATTTTAAATATGTTTTTGTTTGTGATTTGCCATGATTTTATTGAGAAATTTTTCATCTATGTTCATCAAAAATATTGGTCTGCAGTTTTCTTTCCTTTATGTGTCTTTGTCTGCTGTTTGTTATCAGGATGAGCTTCATGAGATGAGTTTGGACGGTTCTCTTGTTTTGTTTTCATGAAATGATTTGAGGACTGTTGGTGTTAATTCTTTGAATTTCTGCTAGAATTTGGCTTAGAATCCACTTGGTTTGTAGAACTTGGCTGATAATCCATTTGGTCCTTGGATTTTTTTTTTGATAGCTCCTTCTATCTTTTTAGTTGAAATTGATGTGTTTACATTGTATGTGTCCTCCTGATTCAATTTGGTTCTGTCATATGTCTCCAAAAATTTGCCGACCTCTTGAAGATTTTCTATTTTATTGTAGTATAAATTTTTGAAGTAGTTTCTGATTATCATCTGTGTTTCAGTAATGTCCATGATGATATTTCCTTTTTCATCACAAATTTTAGTAATTTGACTTGTTCTCTTTCTTTAATTAGTGTAGCTGTGTTTATCTATTTTATTTATTTTTTCAAAACAACTTTCTGTCAAGAAAGTTTTTTTTTGTTTTAATTTATTATATGACAGCAGAATGCATTACAATTCTATAACATGTATAGAGCTCAAAATTTCATATCTCTGGTTGTACACAAAGGAGTGTCACATCATTCATGTCTTCATACATGTACTCAGGGTAATGATATCTATCTCATTTCACTGTTTTTCCTACCCCTACACCCCTCCCTTTCCTTCCCTCCTCTTAACCCTATCTAGACTTCATCTAATCTTCTCCTCCACCACAACATTATGAATTAGCATCCTTAAATTAGAGCAAACATTTGGCATTTGTTTTTTAGGATTGGCTAACTTCACTTAGCATTATATTCTTCAACTCCATTCATTTACCTGCAAATGCTGTGATTTTATTCTCTCTTATTGCTGAGTAATATTTTATTGGGTACATATACTACATTTTCTTTATCCATTCATCAACCGAGAGGCATCTAGGTTATTTCCACACTTTAGCTATTGTGAATCTTGCTGCTATAAACATTGATATGGATGTGTCCCTGTAGTATGCTGTTTTTAAGTCCTTTGGTTATAGACCAAGGAGTGGGAAACCTTGGTCAAATGTTGGTTCTATTCCCAGTTTTCCAAGGAGTCTCCATACTGCATTCCATATTGGCTGCATCAATTTGCAGTCCCACCAGCAATGCATGAGTGTGCCTTTTCCCCCACATCGTCATCAACTTGTTTTTTGCCCTTGATTTCTTCTGCTATGCATTGGTTGTTCAATGTTAGATTAGCTTCTGGGGTTTTTTTTGTTATTGTTGTTGTTGTTTGTTTGTTTGTTTTACTTTATCATTGATTTCTAATTGTTTTTCCATTATGATCTGTTAGAATGCATGGTATATTCTCTATTTTTTAAAAATTTTCGTAGAATTCTTTTGTGGCCTAATATATCTTCTATTTGGTGTTGGGGTTGTTGTTCAGTGGTAGATTGTTTGCTTAGCATGTGTGAGGCACTGGCTTAAAATGTTAAGCACCAGTTATAAATAAAATGGATAATCTAAAAATTAAAAAAAAGAATCTACACAGTCTATTTTAGAGATGCAACCATGTGCTGCTAAGAAGAAAGTGTAATCACTTGTTAATGAATGAAATACTCAATATATTTCTTTTAAATCTAAATTGTTGATTGTACTTTTTAGTTTTTTGTATTATTCTTTGGAGGATATATCCTCTGGTGAGAGAGGTCTGCTAAAATTACCTAGTATTATTATGCTATGATCTATTTGATTCTTGAAATTGAGAAGGGTTTGTCTGGTGTGTGTAGATGCTCCATAAATATTAACAAGTGTTATGTCTTGTTGATGTATTATTCGTTTATACAGTATGAGATGTATTTGTTAGTCTCTGCTGATTAATTTTGGCTTGAAGTTAACTTTATCTGTTATGAAGACAGAAACTCCTGCCTGTGTAGGAAATCCATGTGAGTGATATATTCTTTTTCATCCCTTTGTCTTTATTCTGTGGATGTGTTTGCTTATGAGGGGAATCTCTTGGAGACAGCATATCCTTTGATCTTCATTTTTAATCCATTCTGCCATATGTCTTTTAATTGATGACTTTAGTCCACTTACATTCAAGTTTATGATTTAGATATGATATGTATTCTCAGCCACTTGGGTTTATTTCTGTTTTTTAAGTTGAAATAATTTCTCCTTTGATTGATTACTCCTGTAGCATAATTCCTCCCATTGCTGATTTTTGCTTTGTTTTTCATTTTGTCTTCATGGAATATTTTGTTGAGAATGTTGTGTAGTGCAGGCTTTTGAGTTGTGAATTTTTTAAAAACTTTTGTTTATCATGGAAGTTTTTTATTTTATCATCTGAAGCTTAATTTTTCTGGATATAGTATTCTTCATTGAAATCCATTTTTTTTCCCTAAGAATGTGGTACTAATATCCTAGGACCTCCTATCT